CTTTTGTTCTGGCATGGAATGTATGGGTCAAGTATTAGAAGAGGGGCAAAGGACCAGACTAACAGCTTTTAAGGGACTTTTCATGATGTCCTTAACAGGAATGGGAGAAACGTTTCGAGTGTGTTGCAACATGTGTAAACAGACTCTTGCCTTTGAGCTCTGTTCATGCATTCTAACTCCTTCACAGGATATAAGAAACGCACATTTTCTTAAGTATTGCATATCACTTTAACTTCCACCCGTGGTTGCCCAGATTTAATTGGTGGCAATAGTGTGCGATACAATATTCTTGACAGTTTGACAATACTAGTGGGGTTTTTGTTTGTTTGTTTTTTGTGATTCTGGATGATCATGGCATAGCTTAGTGATTTCATCAGTAAAAATGGAGAAAGTCAGATTATGTTTTACTAAGAGTTGAAAAGTGCCTTCTCTAAACTCAGTTATACCAATGTCCTGCTTTATATTTTTGATGAGTTGGTTAATTCTCTTTGTTTCAAAAACATTTTATGTTTTGTATAATTCAACTAAAATGTTATCTAGCTTTGTGCTCTCTTCCTCTTTCTTCAGTCACAGTGGACGTGTTTCTTATGGTGGTAACATAAGTTCTATACATAGCTCTTCCATTATGGCTTGGCTTTTATGTGTACAGGTATATCATACACATTGCCTGAAAACTACTCTATTTTCAAGCAGCTACTACAATTTCCCTTTACTGTTGGGTTTGTTTTCTCCCTAAGTGTTGAATGACACATGAAGAAAAACAGGGTCATTGGGGTGGAGCACAGTGAGTAATGGCTTGGAAACTAACAGACTAAATGTTGTAGGTTTACCACTAACTTATACTAAAACCTGGACAAGCTGATTCCCTTGGTCTCTGTGAACCAAATCCTTTTTAGTGTAAATGGAATTAAACCCAGCTCACCTCACAGAGGTGATAGTAATCCATGATATTAATCCCTTAACAATAGTATATTCGTTTGTTGTTTGGGGTTTTTTTTTCTGTCCTTTTTTTAAAATCATTTAATTAGGGGCTCATACAACTCTTATCACAATCCATACATACATCAATTGTGTAAAGCACATTTGTACATTCATTGTCCTCATCATTCTCAAAACATTT